ATACCTTATCATATGGGCATTGGGTGAATAATCTGTGGTTCATCTTTGTATCTAGGTCACCGTTTCTTTTGAGATGCAGAAGCTCTTTGGTTTATGTAGTCCTATTTGAGTTTTGTTTGTTTGTTTGTTTGTTTTTGTTTTGTTTCCTTCCACTTGCTTGGTCAGTGGTCTTTCATCTTTGAAGATGCCTGTGACTTCAATGTCAAGGAGGGTTTTGCTGATGTTTTCTTCCATGTACCTGGTACCAGGTGTGATATTGAGGTTTGAATCCATTTGATCTTACTTTTGTGCATGGCATTGGATAAAGGTTTGGGTTTCTTTTTTCACATGTAGCTCTCCAGTTTATCAAGTGTCAATTGTTGAAGAGACTTTTCTTACTCCACTTCATTTAACTAGCTCCTTTATCAAAGCTTAAATGGTTATATATTTGAGGATCTGTGTCAGGATATTCAACTTTATTCCACTGATCTGCAGGTCTGTCTTTATTCCAATATCATGCTTTTTTAATTACTATTCCTTTATAGGACAGTTTGAAGTTGTGAAAGGTGGAGCCTTGGAAAAGAAAATCTTTTCTTTTTCCAAAAGATTGCTTTAGGATGAGCACCTAGGGGTGCTCAAGGCTTACTTTTGGCTGTATTCTCAGGGATCACTCCTGGAAGCGATTGGAGATGGAGGATTGAACCATTCAAAGCAAACACCCTGTACTATCTCTCTGGTCCCTGTCTGTATTATTTTTTATTCTTTCTTCTTTTTGCTTGCTTTTTTGGTGGGGGGATTGGTTCCAGTACTTTTGGTTTAAACTCATTTATTTGAATTTTTATTTCTTCCATTCTGCTGTTAAGCTCTTCTTTTTCCCTTTCTTTCTTTCTTTCTTTCTTTCTTTCTTTCTTTCTTTCTGTCACACCCGGCAATTCTTAGGGGTTACTCCTGGCTCTGCACTCAGAAATTACTCCTGGTTATGCTTGGGGGACCATATAGGATGTGAGGGATAGAACCCAGGTCAGCCATATGCAAATCAAATGCCTTACCCACTGTACTATGGCTCCATCCCCTCTCTTGCATTTTTAAGTTCAGCGATATATTCTTTAGCTCTATTTGAGCTAAAGAGTTCTGTTTGAACTCTTCTCAAACTTTCCCCTGTACTTCTTTGTTGACATTCTTTTCCATGATATCATCTCTGAGAGGCTCACTAACACTGTTGCTCTGGAGTCTTCTTCAGGTCGCTTGCATAGCTCTGCTGTGCTAGTTTCTGGATCTATCAGTCCAGTGAGTCCTTTGGCCTCCCCTCCTGTCTGTTGTTCCATGGCCTGGGCAGGGCTGGGATCTGTCCCAGCAGGTCTGAGTAGTCAGTGGGAGCACGCAGTGTGTCTAGGGACAGTCAGGGGACTCATGGGCTTGACTGCCTGACCAACTCCTAACTCCTGAGCTACTAAGTTTGAGTGGATCTAGGCAGTGACCAGGATTCAAGGTCACCAGTCCCTGTAGTCATTAAGGTATTGTGGTCACACAAACCTGGGCTGGGCCTGCAAAATCCCTGCATGGTAGGTTTAAGAGCAGACAAGTCCTTGGTCCCAGCTGGTGACAGAACATTCCCCTGGAAGAGCAGAGTCTGGCTCTCTGAGCTGCCAGGGACCACTTGCAGGCCGTGGGGCCCCCTTGCTCCAGGAGATCCTCGGGATAGTGTCTGTCTGTAGGGTATGGCTTGCTATAGCACTGAGACCCATTTGTCTGCTAGAACTAAGCACTTGAGATAGTTGTTTCTGCCCGTAGGTGGCTTAGCTATTTGCTGAATTTTCTGGTGTTCTCAGAGATTTCCCTTCAGAATCTGTTATTATGGCCAGTCAGAGCTAACATGACTTGTACTAGCACTGCCACCTGCCAGATTATATTTGATCGGCCAGAGGGATGTGCAAGAGTTCAGGCGCTCTGTGCCTGTAACAGATTTCCTGGTTTAGTCCTTGGCATAACACACAGCCCAGGAGCACCAGCAGGAGTTACTCCTGAGCACAGAGCCAGGCCTTGCACCCCAGGCACTGCCAAACGTTTCCCCCAGCCCATACTCATCCCCTGCCACCCCCAGCTCCAACCTTGTATATACCCTAGAGTTGAGCATTCGTCAACCTTTTACAACTGCAAATCAGCACCTGTCTATATACCAGTCCACGAGCCCACACTTAAAACTACTCTGGTAAACCACTGGTTTTCAACCTATTGGTAGACCAGAACCAATCTGTGGGCCAGCAGCTGGAGGACACTGCTATAGTTTATTGTCTCCTGTTCTGTGTTGCTGGGATCATAGGAGGCTAGCAAGGGGGGGGGCTCACTGTGTGCCCCCAGGTAAAGTCCTTATGCGTCTTTTCCTCACTGCATCTAGTTTTCCCTCAAGGTATGGACTGTTCTTAGAGAGCGGGGAGGGGTCCTCTCTGCCTGTAACCTATCTGGGGGCTCCTCTTTAGTCCCTGCTGTGAATGCTTTTGTGCATTGGGGCTTCAGGTCCATTTCTGCATCAGTTATTTGAAGTGTTGATGTAAGTTCGCTGTGATTGGTAAAGGTTATAAACGCAAGTTCTCCCTGTTTAGCTCTCTTGGCCCTGCCCCTATTCTATCTAGCAAGCCTATTTAACACAAATTCTCCCTCTCTCTATCTCTCTCTCTCTCTCTCTCTCTCTGTGTGTGTGTGTGCATGTGTGTGTGTGTGCGAGTGTGTGTGTGTAAGAGGCTGCATATTCACTCTATTAAAAAACTGGCATTCTGGATGCATGTTTTCATTGATATTCACATGTTCCCTGCAGGATCAGCCTCCAACTTCAGCTTTTTCAGATGGATGAGATCGCTTCTGACTCCCTCCTGCAGGTTTGTGCCAGTTTGGAGTTACTGAGTGGGCCCAGGCCTGGGAAGTATGGGATCCCCTCTCCTAGCCATGCCTGGGTGGAATGTGGTGTGGGAAGCTCACAGTGGGGCCCATGAGGAAGGTAGCCTCTGCTCCTCACTGTCTTCTGTTCCCCGGTCTCACTTCATCAGAAGTTTCTGGTTTCCATCCTTCACCCAGATCATCAGAGTCAGCCACGGGGCTTTAGTAGCAGATGACGGCGGGGCAATTGGTCAGGGTTGCTCCTCTCGCCAACAGCATTTAGGCCCAAGGACTTCTGTTCTTCCCTGTCAGCTCAGGGGTCTGGTCTGACGGTGTTGGTGGGAATGCAGGCACAGAGGGAGGGGGCCTTTGGGGTTGGATTCTCAGGAAAGGGAGGGACAGACTTCCTGAGCCCCACTAGAAGGTAGGGTCATGAGCACCCAGTTGCTCTCCTTCCCGCCTGCTACCCCCACTTTGGTGCCCTCCCATCCTCCGCTTTGAAGAGCTTGGAAACATCTTCCCTCCCTTGCCCCGTCTAAGGCGCTAGTGCTGCAATTTGGAAAAGTTCAGGCTTGGTTTCATGCTGTTGGTTTGCTTTGAAATGCGGATGTGTGGGTCACTCTTCATCTCCACACCCGATGTGGCCCCTGGATCATGATGCCCTTTCCCGCTGATCCCAGACGTGAACTGAGTCTGTTTCTCTCATTCCCTTCACCCCCTCCATGAAGATTAATTATGTAAGATCAAATTTACCATCTTAGACATTTGGGGTGGAGGGGGTGATGCGGCAACTGGGGTCAGTTGCATGCAAGACAAATTCCTGAACCCCCATACTATCTCTTCAGCTCCCTTCTTAACCAGTTTTCATAAGCCTGGGGTGGTCAGGGGCCAGGTGGGTACCTGGGGCCCCTCCAAGTAATGTTCAGTCCATCATATGCATCTAGTTCCAAAGGTTTAGTTTCGTTTGTTTGATGAAACTTCATACCATGAGTCATGTGCTTGATTACTGAGCCACATCCCTGACCCCAGCTCAGGGGTGTTAAGAACATTGTGCTGCTACAGAGCCCTCCTGACCGTGTAACTCCAGAGCTACATGCACGACTCCTTGAGAGACTACATGCACGAGAAGCACTAGCTCTGCGCTCCTCCCTCTCAAGAACCCTGCAGATAACCTTCACAAGCTCAACCAGTCTATTTTTGATGGCCTCAAAGATGAAACCAAATACAGGGGCATGGGGAGGGGGATTAAACAAAAACGGGAGCAGAGTTATGGAAAACAACAGGGAAAGGCGAGAGGTGGTAGAGTGGGTCCCCTCTGCCTCTCTTCCAGGCTGAGGGAAGGGCTGGTGACTGGTCACAGCGCACATCCCCTGCTCTCTCTGATACTGCCTGGTCTTGGACTGGAGATTCAACAGGAGCTAATGGACTCACTCACCTCGCTCTTAACTACTTTGATTCAATTTCCAGCACCACGTATGGTCCTCTGAGCCCTGCCAGGAGTGACCTGAGCACAACTGGGTGTGAACACAAAACAAGCAAAAAGCTCCAGAAGCAAAACAAAACAAAACAAAAGCAAAAACCCCAATTTGTCTTGAGAGCAAGTGTAGTGTAAGTAGAAGTAGGTTATGAAAGAGGCTGCCTACAGGACTAGAGGTAGTACAGTGGATACTTGCCCGGTCTCCAGCACTCCATAAGGTTCCCTGAGCCTGACCAGGAGTGACTCCTAAGTACTGAGCCAGTTGTAAGCTCTGAGCACAGCTTGGTGTGGCCCCCAAACCAGAAACCAAACGACAAAAACAAACAAACAAAAAAAACCACTGCCTACAGATTTTGGATCTATAAATGGTGAGTGGTTGGGAGTATCTGGTTTGATGTGACTTAGCGGATTTTTTTTCTTGGCATTTCCACTGTTATTAATTTGTTTTGGTTTGGGGACCACGCCTGGCATGGTGCTTAGGGATCCGTCCTGGAGTGTGCTCAGGGACAGTGTGGTGCTGGGGCTCCCACATGCAGAGCATGCCCTCAGCATGCCCTCCAGTCCTTTGCCCTGCCTCCCTGACCCCAGTGGTGGCCATAGGAAGTGACTGTCCCTTATACTGTGTACTGAGTTCTTGGAATTTCTTCTCTGCAGAGGTTGTAGTATTGTATATAAGCATGCATGAGGAGGAGAGTATTTTTGCTGAACGGAGCTCATTTCATACCATTCATAGCTTAGTGGACTTGACAGCAGATAGGGAAGGCCCCAGCTAAGCTGTGGCAGCCCAGCACAATTTGGGGGTGTTTACTCAGAAGTGAAAAGTCCAAGGAATGGTGATTCGTATCAGAGCAGAAATTTGTAGCTTGTTTTTTTTTTTTTGCTTGTTTGTTTGTTTGTTTTTAAATTCATTGCTTTGAGGATTTCTTCTTTTTTTTCTCTTTACAATTATTGTCCCAGTTACTCCTTAAAGCCAAAGATTAGTATAAGTGTGTTTGGGCAAAGGGATCTGGCTGTTCCTTCCTCCATCATATGTACAATTCTGAGAACTGTGAAGGGCAACCTGACCTTAAGAAGGCCTTTTCCTCTAAAATCCCCCCAAATGCTGAGCTGGTGTGACCCCCGGCATCATAAGCCCCGAGTAGCACCACAATCTCAGGGACCAGCACTGTGCTGCAAGCCTAGACGGCCGAGTACAGTGCTCCTGTGTTGCACGTTTGAGTTCTAACAAATGCACAGTGTTGTGTAGCTGCCATTTCAGTATCATAGTTTCACCACCCTAAAATTCCCCTGTGCTCTAGCTATGAAGTGAACAATCATGCCATTACAGGCATGAAGAACCTTAAATGCATATTGCTAAGTGAAAGAGACAGTCAAAAGAGGGCACATCTGTCTGATTCTAGCTGTATGATATTATAGGGAAGGCAAAAGTATAAAAAACGACACACAGATGAAGGACTAGGGACAGGGAAGGGAGCAGGACAAGGCGATCTGGAGGCAGCACAGGCCTAGACTCAGGCCGTGGGTGTCTAGGGTAGAGAGGTGAGGTGTCTGTGTATACCTGAGCCCCTGGAGCCAATATGCTGTAAGCAGGGGACCCAAACTACAATAGTTAAACTTCAAAATATGCCTCTAAGGAGACAGGCTGGGGGGTGGGAGGCAGCCCAGGGTCATTGATGGAGGAAGGCACACTGGTGGTGGGATTAGAGTTGGAACGTTGTATGTGTGAAACTGTTATCAACAACTCTGTATATCATGCTGCCTAAATAAGAATAAAATGAAAAGACAACAATAAGCAGGACCCGTTTTGGCGAACCATCTCTCTAGAGCCCAGAGGAGCCTTCCTCTGACCACGCTTTGTGTTTGTTGCATGAAGGAGCTTGCGACCCTCCGCGGAGCAGATTGTCCTAGCGCCATCACTGGCGAGGGTCGACCTGGAGATGCTGCAGCTCACCCAGGAGAACGCAGACTTCGCCGGGCGGGATCGCTACCACCACTCCTCCCCAGTGAGCCGGGAACAGCTGATGCCTCGGTACTAGCGCTGAGTACTCAGCCCTTGCCGCTGGGGCTCAGGGCTCAGTGCACAGTGGATACAAGTCCCGTAACCTTTGTGGTGCTGGTTCTCCTTGGTGAGAAGCAAAGCCCTGTCCTCACATCCCATCAGGACTGGACCTTCTGCTGGAGCGTTGTGAACAGGAAACTGGCCACAGAGCTGCCTGGAGGCGTTGGGAGGCACAAGACCCAAGGACTTACTCTCAGGGCCTTAACAAAGACTCTTGAAATTTTTGCTATTTTTTCCTTTTGGAAAAATGTGTTTTCATGTTTCCAAACCCCAAAGTACAATCCTACACACAGTGCAAGACTCCCTCCCATTCTTGCTTTGATGTTCAGATGCTGTCCACTGCCCCAGCGTCTGGGTTTCTGTATGCCTGTCCAGCATTTCTTTGTGAATGCAGAGGCCAGCGGGAACATGTGTTCTTATTACTCCTGGTCTGTCCGTAAAGGCTAGTCTGTCCTACATGTGCTCTGCCCTTCACTTTTCCTCTTAATAATCTAACCTAGAGACATTTGCATACCAGTATGTGTAGAGTGTCCTCATTCTTTTTCATTCGTAAATGTGCTTTAATTTATTTCTTCAGTTCCAATGGCATTTGGATTGTTTCCAACCTTTGACGGTTCCAATCAGCTCTGCAGTGAATTATCTGAAACACATGTACCAATGCAAAATATATCTGTAGGATAAATTCCCAAATGTGAAATGACAAGACCAAAGGATGCATACCTTTGTAGGGTATTATGGTTGAATGATGGTCTTTCATAATTAAAAAATTGAACAACCAGGAATTATCTAATAGTGACTCATATTCTTGCAAGTTTTTGTTGTTCTCAGCTCTCTGGTGTGGAAAGCAGATTTTAAATGGGCTGAATTTCTCATTTGGTTAAAAAAAATTGTATTTAGCTAAAATGTTATTGTGTCACCAACAAAGTCATCAGGTCTTAGGCTGGAACTCCTGGAAGGCGAATGGTTCCTGGCTCTGTTTGTGGGGAGCGAGGGAGGGGCGGTAGGAAGGGGCAGAAACCTGAAGGAGGTGAGTATTCTTTTGGTTCTCGTGTTTTTTTAATCTCTTCAAAATATTTCTTTTCTTTTTCTTTTTGTTTTATTATATATGAAATATTCATATATTGCCATGAGATATACAGCTGTAAAATTGTCTATGATTTGGTTTCAGTCATACAGCATTTCAACACCAGCCCCTGGTACATTTCCCACCACCAGTGTTCCCAGTTTCCCTCCCACTCGTCCCCCAGCCTGCATACTGTTACTGAAAGGGTATCGTGCATATCACTTTACCTTTTTTCAGCACTCAGTTCTTGTCCAGAGTGATCATTTCCAATTATCATTGTCAACATGGTCCCTTTTCCGTCCTAACTGCACTTCCCCAAATCTGTGGCACACTTAACAACCATGGACCAGTCTGTCTGGCCCTTGTTTCTACTGTCTTTGGGTATTATTCTCACACTATGCTTTTTAAAAAATATCCCGCAAATGGGCACTATCAATTTATGTCTGTCCCTCCTGACTCATTTCACTCAGTATGATACTCTCCTTGTCCATCCATCTATGAACAAATTTCATGATTTCATCTTTCCTAATGACTTCATAGTATTCCACTGTGTAGATGTACCATAGTTTCTTTATCCAGTCTTCTGTTCTTGGGCACTTGGGTTGTTTCCAGATTCTGGCTTTTGTGAATAGTGTTGCAATGAACATAGGAGTGCAGATGTCATTTCTGCTGTGTGTTTCGGGGTCCCCAGGGTATATTCCCAGGAGCAATATAACTGGGTAATATGGAAGCTAATTTCTAGTTTTATGAGGAATGTTCATATTGTTTTCCAAAAAGACCGGACCAGTTGGCATTCCCACTAGCAGTGAATGAGAGTCCCTTTCTCCCCACATCCATATTGGCACGGATTGTTCTTGTTCCTTTTGAAGGAGGTGAGTCTTTGAGGCATCAAAGCCTTTTCTTTTTTGCAGGGGAGGGCGAACATACTCGCTGATGCTTGAGGGACTGTATGTGATGCAAAGTCAGCCCCATGCAAGGTAAGCACCCGACCTGCCAGCAAAACCTACCTCTGAAGGTACAACAGAACCTTCATCTCCAAGGAATCTAAGAGCCTACAGGAATACCTGTGTCCCAAAACTCATGGAGGGAGGAAAGGGTCTAAATTAGCCAATGGGCCCTGCTCTCCGCTGCTGGAGATCAGCCCGAAGGGGCAAGGGCTGCCTTTGTTTATGTGATTTGCACCTGGTGGAGGGAGCCTGTGAGCCTCGCAACAAACGGGCACCTTGTGGCCCTGGGTGCTGCTGGGTTGTGTGCTTGAAATTGGCGCAAAGGTGACTGGAGCCAGGCCATCCATTACTGCTGGCACCTGAGGGGGCTCTCTCCCTGCCATGGCTCCCTCCTGCAGCTACCCATCACTGTTGGTCATCCTCCTTTGCCCTCCCACTCCTGGCTGGAGACTGGACTAGATATGCCTGAGCCAGGCACTTATCACCCACCTGAGAGCTTTGAAACACAGGACCAGAGAGACAATTCCATGGGCAGGGCGCTGGCCTTGAACGCAGCTGACCTGGGTGTGATCCCTCACCCCATATGGTTCCATGAGCATTGCCAGGAGTAATCCCTGGCTTCAGAGACAGGAGTAAGCCCAGAGCACAGCAAGCTGTGCCCTCCAAATCTAACCAAAAAATAGGGTCACAGACCAAGCAGAAATGAATCCTTCAGCCGCCATCCCCAAACTTTCCAGTCACAACTGCTATATTCTGGAGCATTATTGAATCAGAGGAGGGGTCATTGCCCGGGGGTGGAAGGGGTGCTAACAAGTCCTCCAGCAGTGCTCTCAGGTGCATTTTGAGCAAAGGATGGGAAGTTCAAGGTTCAGGGAGAGTATTTGGGACTGGGGGACAGTGCAGCCCCTTGTATGCTGGTGCCTGGGCTGGGGGCCGGCCCTGAGGTGCAGGGTCCTTGAGGTGGACAGGCTGATCAGCTGCGTCTGACGTGCTTCTGTGGAATCTAAGAATCTGCTGATCCCCTGGTCCAGAGAAGTGCATTTTCCCTCACACAAGAGCACACAGGCAGAGATCTGGAAGGGCCCGGTTGTCTTCCAGCTCTGGGCTGTGCCCTAGAGAAGGGGCCTTTTGATTATCTTACCGGCCTTGTCCTCCATGGGGGTGACTGGAGGGTTCCATGGCCATGAGAGAGGAAAGGACCCTCTAGTCATGAGCTTAGGAACAAAGGCAGGCACAGGTTCTGTGGGTGTGCAGAGGTGCCCTGGCCCTTCAGTCTTCAGGGAGGACTTCCTGGAGGGAGAGATGTCTGACCTACACGCACTGGACAGAGATGGGGGTCAAGGAACTCCTTCCGGGCAGGGGATGTGGCAGCCTCAGGCTGGCGGGGGGCCTAAAAGACACTGCTAAATGCTGGCTGGTGCCTCAGTGCCCTCGCTGGGGGCTGCACCCTGTGACAGGGTTTGGGGAGCCACGTGGTGTCAGACTGAACTCAGACCCAGTGCATAAAGGACCCATGCAAGCGCACAAACCAGCACAGTTGCGCTCAAGCCTTTTAGGCTAGGAATTTTTCTTTTCATTTATTTTTTGGGCCACACCCAGTGGAGCTCAGGGCTTAATCCTGTCTCTGTGCCCAGGCATAGCGACTTTTCTTAAACATAAGAAAGCCCAGCCCATGCTCTAGCTTGTCTGCAGTGCTTAGGCTGACCCAGGAGATGACCATGAAGAGCACATCCTGTTCCTCCCAGCTGCATGCCCAGTCCCAGCCTCAGCGCGTCTCAGCCAAGATGATTCTGCCAGGCCCCCTCAGCATGCACAGGAGGCCTGTGAGGAGAGAACCCAGTGGGCAGGGGTGCTTTGGGGGAGGCTAGGTGCAGAAATCTGCTTTCCCCACGTGCCCAGCACCCCAGCCACTTGGAGACGCATGAGGGCTCTCGGGGACGCTCCCGAGCAGATGCGGTGCCCTCGTCTCAGTTTGAAGCAGCAGGGAGCTGCAGAGGCCCTGGCAGCAGCATGTCGCTGTCCTGTGTGTGTGGGGGGGGAGGGGGGGAGGATCAAGTGCATGTGAAAGGCAGGTGGCAGGACAGACTCCCCAGCATCAAGGGCACCCGGTGGCAGTGCCCAGACAGGGGCCCATCTGGCAGCATCGGGTGGGGGCCCTTCCCTGGTCCAGGGTCTGAGCTCCGACCATTTGCCTGTTCAGGACCCTGAAGGTACATGCAGCATCCCCTCCCCGGGCACCTTGGGGAACCTGACTCTCCTCTCTGCAGTTCCCCTAAAATCCCCCATCTCTGTGTGTGTGAGGGGCACACGTGTGCTGGCATACACTCTCCTGGCCATGTTTGTGTCTGCTAGAGAAGGTTAAAAAATGAAAGAAGGAAAGAAAAGAAGAAATCTGGGCCAGATAACGCATCAGGTAGGGCGCTTGCCTTGCAGGAACTGACCTGGCACCTGAACCTTGCAGGTTCATCCCTGCCTGGCACCCAACATGGTTCTCCAAGCCCATCAAGGGTGATCCCTGAGCACAGGGCTGAGAGTAATCCCTGAACACAGCTGAATATGACCCCCAAACAAAGGGGGAAAATGGAAAAAGAAAAAATCAAGAGCCCCCAAATGAGAAAGATACTTCAAAGAAGAGCCTCATAATTCCCTTCCTTTCCCTTTGGGACCCCCTGATGCAGGAGGTATTTCAGAGTCTTCCCCTGACCACCCGCAGCCAGCCCAAGGTCTCATGAGGTGACACCAACCATCCATGCTGAAGATAAAGGTACAACCCTGATTTCAAGTAGAAACCACAGACAGAAAGCCAGGGGTCGGTACTGTTCTGCATGCAAGGTCCCTTGGAGCAAGTCGCTTCCTAAACGGTCCGCTGCCTGTGCCCACACTACTGCAGGTTGCTTTCTGGGTCCTGGGCTAATCTGGTGCCCCCAGAAGAGGCAGAGAGCACTGCACTGTCTGCTCGCCCTGCTC